CCAAAAAATGAAGGTGGGCTAGGTTTGAGAAAATTAACTGACATGAACAAAGCTTGTGTAGCCAAACTAAGCTGGAAGATTATCAAATGTGACAATGAGCTTTGGTTAAAGGTGCAAAGAGGAAAATATGGAAGAACAAATGCAACAACTGGTTTGGGATATGCCAAGTCATATGACTATAGTTTGTGGGATAATATAGTCAATATATGGCCTTTGATTGGTAACATGGTTGTATGGTCAATTTACAATGGAGAAAGCATTGATACTTTGAATGATTGTTGGGTAGCGCTGGGAATTTTACTGAAGGATCACATGCATAATAACATGAATGAGCAGCAGAGCTTTAGAGTGGCAACTCTTATTGATGAAAATGGTGATTGGGTCTGGAACAGGTTGAGAGGGTGCTTTAACCAAGATATCTTGGAAAGAACTGCTGCTACTTATCCCCCTATGGAGGATATTAGAAAATATGATTATCTTTGGGAAGGTACCAATAGTAGAGCTTTTACAACCTCAACTGCTTATGATGCAATTTCGAATATAATGGCCATTAACTTAGGTCAGGAATGGAGGAACATATGGAGAATTAAGGTGCTTAAAATAATCAGAATATTCATTTGGTTGGTGCATCCTAATGGTCTAAAAATGAAATAATTACTAGCTCAAAGTCACATCAGCGATCCTGAATGCACAGAATGCATTGGCATGGAAGAATCCCTGATTCATGCCTTAAGGGATTGCAAATCAGTTAAACGTGTGTGGTTAGCTTTAGTGTATACCTCCTATCGAGAACCTTTCTTTGCCTTAAATGTACAAAATTTTCTGATTCTAAACATGGAATGCAACATTAGCAGGCACGATGATGAGGATTGGCAAGAAACCTAGGCTACAACTTGCCATGCTATATGGCACTGGCAAAATCAAAGGTTATTTGTAGATGATTTCATCATTCCTTGCAACATGGTTAGAGAAATTTGAAAGCGAGTTAACTAATATTCATTTAGTAAGAAAATGATGAACATAAGTTCTTCGATGATCAAATCAGACATCAACATCAAATGGTTGCCACCAGTTGAAGATTGACTGACTCTCAACACAGATATAGTAGTGTATCAGAACAATCATGCATGATGCGGGAGAGTTTTAAGGGATAATAAAAAACAGTGGATTAAGGGATTTGCCAAATCGCTAGGAAAATGTAGCATAATGAATGCAGAGTTGTGGGAAATTTTAGAAGAATTAAAAATGCTTCATAACAGAGAAAAGACGGAAGTTAACATCGAGACAAATTCTAAGATTGTGCATAAGACAATCAATAATAAGACTTACAATGCTAACACATGGACAAAGAAATTGCAATTCATAAAAAATATTCATATAATTTATGTTTTTAGAAAAGTCAATGTATGTATTGATGGTATGGTTAAGTTAGTAATAAAACAAAATGTAATCATTAATGTGTTTGAGTTTTGTCTTATGAAAATTTATAGTGTTTGAGTTTTGTCTTATGAAAAATTATAATTTGTATGTAGCTGATATGGAGGATGTCTCAACTAAGAGGATAGTGTTCATATAATTGGATTCGGACTTTGACCCTCTTCAATAAAATAAAATTAAAAAAAAGGGTATAGTTTGAACTTTGAAAACAATTACTCCTACTATTAACAAATTATTTTAGAAAAACAACCCTTAAATAGAAAAGAAAAGAAAAATAGGAGTCGTGTGTAAATAAAATAAATAAATAACAAAATAAGAGAAAAAGGGTAGTATCAACGGCGAGGGTAAATTCAATTGCGGCGCCATACAGAGAACTGTATCATATCAATGGCGGTTCCGGGGAGGCGCAATGGTTTCAACGACGACGATGATGATGAATCCAACGGTATTTTCGAAGAACAAGCTCTCGTAGTTGAAGAAACCGATACTCCTCCTCATCTCCGTGACCTCTCCCATGCCGCTCAAACCGGCGACATCAACGCCCTCCGCCTCGCTCTCGGTAACTCATCTCGTTTCCATTCTCATTTCTCTCACTTTCTTCTTCCACCGCATAATTTCTTTGTCTCTGTTTTACTTCAATATTTATTTACCTCTCTGTTAAACCCTACTTCTCCTTAAAAATATATGAATTCAGAACCCTAATTTTTTTTTCTGTTATGCTGATAGATACTGAATATCATATGACTTGTGATATATATTATTTTGTCTAAAATTTTTAAGAAAAGGATAAAATGAAGAGGAAACATGGTTGTAGCTCTATGAATTTTATTGTTTTGATAAACTTTTGTTTTTATGGTAATGGATTCTTGTATGAATAACTGTTTTTGTGTGTAGGGATATGTTTTAAATTGGATTAGTTTGAGATAATTTGCAGAGAAAATTATGATTATTTCATAATTTTAATATTGAACTTGATAATGCAATTGAACTTGATAGCGCCTAATGTAGAGAAGAGGGTGCAAAATAGACTTAGGTGGTTTGGACATGTAGATAAAAGACCAGTAGATTTTGTGGTAAGGAGAGTATATTATATGGAGAGAAGTCAAATAGCTTAAGAAAGAGGAAGAATTAAAAAGACTATGAAAGAAGTTATTAAGATCTCAAGATTAACGATCTGGATAGAAGCATGGTCCTGAATAGAACATTATGGCGAAAATTGATCTATGTAACCGACTCCACTTAGTGGGATAAGACTTAGTGGTAGATTCTGCAGTAAGGAGTGTATATCGGATGGAGAGAAGTCAAACAGCTTAAGAAAGGGGAAGACTTATAAAGACTATAAGAGAAGTTATTAAGATATCGAGATTAACGATTTGGATAGAAGCATAGTCCTGGATAGAACATTATGGTGAAAATTGACTTATGTACCCGGCTCCACTTATTGGGATTAGACTTAGTTGTTGTTGTATAATGCAATTGGTTGAACCATGAACGCACAGTCTAAAGTTTGGTTATTTTGGTCCTGGTTTAGTCTCTTTTGAAGTTTTGAGAATTGACTCATGACCACAATTTCTTGCCGATTTGATGTCTGATTTGGTATTAGAAACATTGAATTATCTACTAAAGCTTTTATGTTTTGATATGTAAACTAAGACACCATAACTTGAGTATTGGGTAACTAATGGATGTCATTTTATTAATTCTTATGATGGTTATCGACGGTGTTGGCATAATTACAGATAATTTGAGTGGTAGTATTGACGAACCTCTAGAGGATGGGGATAGCGCTCTTCATTTGACCTGTTTGTATGGCCATTTTGGATGTGCCCAGGTTTGTTATTCTGCTCATTCATTTTTTTTCTCTTTTATTGTTTTGAAACACATTGTGAATTATTGATCTTGTATAATGAATGGCAGCTTCTACTAGAAAGAGGAGCTGATTTGGAGGCTAAGGATGAAGATGGGGCAATTCCTTTACACGATGCATGTGCAGGAGGTGGAATTAACTTGAAATCATGTTTTATATGTTAAAATCTCTTTGTAATTTTGGTTGAGATTTGTGATGTTGTTTTACTTTGAATGGCAATATCAGGGTTTTTGGAGATAGTGCAACTTCTACTTAACAGAGCTAATGATGCCGAGCACATAAAAAGGATGCTAGAATCAGTCGATTCTGAGGGTGATAGTGTGAGTTTTTTTTACCCTTCTTAAAATTTGAGTTTCTATTCATGAGGCTAAAATCAATCCTACAAATAGTATAACCTACCATAAATATACAGGGTTCTTAAAATTACTCTCATTGGTGTGTTTCTTTAGGATGGGGTGGGGGAGTCAAATGTCTAGAGATACCAGCTCAATCCCAATTCCTAGTCCTATTTCATCTTTGTTTACTTAATTTCTTCTGATTTGTTTGCCATATTTTGTGACTATTTTTGCAGCCTCTTCATCATGCTGCAAGAGGTGAGCATGCTGATGTAATTAGGTTGTTGCTGTCTAATGGTGCATCAGCCACAAAGGAAAACTTATATGGAAAGGTATATTTGTTGCTTTTAAATAACTATCCATTTCTTGCTCTCAAAGGAGTTTAATAATAATCCATTCATTGCTTGTAATTTTTGGCAGACCCCTGCAGAGTTACCTGAACAAGGCACAAATGCTAGGAGGCTGCTTGAAGCTGCTGCTACTGCCATGGCAACCTAATAATAGGCATTAATTAACATGGTGATTAGTACAAATATTTAGTTTCATTTTGATATAAGCTCAATCTGTATACTTTATATTCATTTCTCCTAGTTCAAATTTATCGAGGTAATTTTGTGGATTATAACTTTGGAGAGATAAAAACGAGGATTCAGGGGCCAAGTCAAGACTGCCTGGTTTGTTTTTGTTAGTTTACATCGTAGATTGCAATTGACTATAACTAGTTACACACTTAACCCTCTAGATTTACCAGAATTGAACCCACTTCGTTGGTTCCTTGATCACAAATTTTTGCTGCATGCTCTTTAATTCTCCCTTTAATCTTCATACGTTATCGACATTCATATTATTCATGCATGTTAGTTGAAGGTGATTTTTTAAATCCACAAATTTGTTGTGAATGAAAAGCTTGGGAATGGTAAAAAAGCTCTAGAGTTGTTCAACATCCTTTTATTTTTTGGCATAAAGAATTCCCTAATGAGAGAGTGTAAAGTCCAAGTTGAATGAAATCTATAGACAGCTTCTAGAGAATTACTGAAAAATATCTATATGCTACAGTATCCTGCTTTTTTTAGTATTAAATTTGATAGATCATGTGATGGCACAAGGTTGTATTGATTTGAATAAAGTGTAAGATAAAAACTGCAGACTGGAATGTAAGATAAAAACAGCAGACTGGAATTAAAGAAATTTATACAGGCAAATTGTCATCATTGTTGTCACCAGTTCGACAATGTTATGGTACAATTAGTTGAGCAACCAAAAGACATTGGTGCCAATAAGAAACTATGGAAGAAGATTACATGAGAGGATCAGTTCAAGATGTGATGATAGTTAAGACTCAATGTCCACTTTGCAACATTTTAGAAGCAACAACCACCATCTTGGGATGTCTGTGGTTCCTGTCTTTGCTTTAAAATATTCCTTTTCACTAATGTCGATCCTTCTTCCAATAGACTAGGAACTTCCATTATCTAAAAAAATGGTAACATACTGTCATCATGATTGGAACACAACAAACAATCTACCAAGAATTTCAACTCATGCAAGAGCATCAAAATTTCCACACATTTCTTGTTTCATTATTATCAATGAACAGAATTTCCAAAAACCATACCTTTTGTGTAAGTTCCTCAAAGCACTTGTCTACATTTTCTCGAGTTTTGGCACTGCATTCGAAAAACAAGCATCCAAATTCTTTTGCAAGTGCTAAGCCCTCTTCTGTGCTCACAGCCCGTTCAGATTCCTAAAATTAGATAACATGTAGTTACATTCATAGTTTGAAAAACAGTTCATTTAACAAATATTACGCACCAGATGATGATTCATTTACTTGGGTCAGATATTATCTCCATGCACAACACCAAAACACACAACTTACCCTATCAACTTTATTTCCAACTAGCATCTTCACACAGTCCTGGTTAGTTGAATAGAGTTCCACTTCTTTGGACCAAACCTCTGATAAGTTTGTAAATGTTTCTCTTCTTGTTACATCATAAGCTAAATGAAAATCAAATTAGTCTCTAAGTGTAAGCCTTGAATCTATAATACACAAGAAAATCGCAAATCATTGTAGCATACCGAGAATAATTCCTTGCGCTCCTCTATAGTAAGAACTTGTTAGCGTTCTGAATCTTTCCTGTCCAGCTGCAATAAAAGTAGTTTAGGTCAATTTGCAAATGATTCAACAGAAAAACTCTCTAAGAATAACATCATCAGATTTGTGGCAGTAACTAAAGAAAAAGGACTATTTTCATGAACAAGAAGCATAAGGTTTGAGTATAGAGATTACCAGTGTCCCAAATAGTTAATTTCAATCTCTTGTCACCTACTGTGAGAAGCTTGATCTTAAAATCAACACCTACATAATATTAAACAACATAATTAGATCAATTCAAAACACAAATCTGATAAAAGAAACATTCATAGTTTCATATACTTTATGTCTAACTCCAAAGGCATAAAAAGGGAATTAAAAACAATAAAACAGTCAGTTTTTTGGAACCAGAAATGAAATACCAATTGTGGGAGCAATATCTTCAACAGAGCCGGAGATGAAGCTAACAATTAAGCTACTTTTTCCCACAGCAGAATCACCAATCAACAAGATCTTGAAAGAGAGATCATAGCTACTGCTTTGACCAGAAGAAGAACTCATTCTCCCTACTCTTTGAATGGTTTATTGAAGATAATGGAATCACCAAAGAATGTTTCTATATGTATGTATATATGCAGAAAAAAAGAGAGAGAAAGAGAGAGGAGAAACATCTTTCATATATTGGTATTTTTGAGAGAGATTGAGTGATACAGAAGCTAAAGAAAACGGCTACCTTTGCCTCATGACTTCATAAACACAAAGACATCAACGTATATATTCTTTTCTTTATTCTTTTCTTTTCTTTCCTTTTCAGTATAAAAATTATTCTGTTTCTCTATTTTTTCTTAAGATTTAAATAAGTAATTAATTATAACTATACTATTTTTTATTTTATATATATATATATATATATATATATATATATATATATATATATATATATATATATATATATATATATATATATATATATATATATATATATATATATATGTATATATATATATATATATGTATATATATATATATATATATGTATATATATATATATATGTATATATATGTATATATATATATATATATATGTATATATATATATATATATATATATATATATATATATATATATATATATATATATATATATATATATATATATATATATATATATATATATATATATATATATAGTGTTATTTTAGATTGAACTTTCGTGTCGATAATGGCAGTTTCATGGTTCGACAGAAGTTGTGTATGCTGTAGTCGAAATTTGTTTGAGCATACTGTTAAAATAGGTTAGTTTTGTGTTTAAGTTAGCATGTGGAATTCAACATTACTTGTAAGCTCAATTGATAAGTTAACTTAGTAGTCTATAAATAAACTAGTTTTCTCAGGTTGTTGAGAAAGGTTAATTATTGATATTCACTTGTAATCTTTGAACCTTTATTGAAAAAGTGAATAGAAGAACATATTTAACTAATTTTTACTCTTCTTCTTCTTTATTATCTCCCTTTTATAAAATCTAATAGGGTTTATTGTGTTTGATCAAGAAACTCAATCTTTTTCTTATATTTTAGTTTGCTTTTGACGACATCAATTCACAACAAACTGGTGCAGTGAGTGTGGAGGAGAAAATGTCGTTAATAAAGTATGAGATTGGAAAAAAAAAATTATGTGAATTATTTTGCTTTGTGGTGCTTGAAGATGCAAGCTCTTCTTATTCAACAGAGTTTGTTAGAAGCATTGAAAAGATCAAAGAAGATGGATGTTGCCCTATCGGAGAAGGAGAAAACAACAATGGTCGAAAAAGCTCACAATGTCATTGTGTTGAGTCTTGGTAATAAGGTTCTCTGGCAGGTTTTAAAAAAGAAAACTGCAGCTAGTGTTTGGACGAAACTTAATGGTTTGTATATGATGAAATCGTTGGTTAATCATCTCTACCTGAAGCAAGCTTCGTATTCGTTCAAGATAAGTGAAGACAAAGCCTTGGTTGAGCAGTTAAATGTGTTCAACAAGTTGATTCTTAATCTTGAGAATATCGAGGTCAAGATTGGTGATGAAAATCAAATGTTATTGTTGTTATAAGTCTCATACTCACTTCAAAGAAACTCTCTTGTATAGAAGAGAGTCGTTGACCTTTGAAGATGTTCAATATGCCTTGTACTCTAAGGATTTGAACGAACAAAAGGGGCACAAGCCATCTTCTATTGGTGAGGGTTTATCTGTTAAGGAGAAATTCTTGAAGAAATATGGTAGGTTTGAAAAGAAGAAAGGTAAAGTTCTATAGAATTCTTGTGGTGGTAATACTCATACTATTAAGTGTTATCATTGTAAGAAGGAGGGTCATACAAGAAAAGTATGTCCTGATCAACTGAACAATCATGGTGGAAAGGATAATGATAATGCAGCCATTGTGTAAGATGGTTATGAATCATCTGATGTTCTGGTGCTTTCAAGAAATGACTTTAGCCAGGGCCGACCCTAGGGGTAAGCCACCAAGACTACCGCCTAGGGCCTCACTTTTTTATTATGATTATATTTAATAATAATTTTCATTTATAAAAAAATCTTTTAAATTATGTTATATATCAGTTAAATAATAATAAAATCTACAATAATATATATTGTTTGATTTTTTATTTTAAAATCACACGTATCGATAATAAATTTTTGAATTAAAAATATTTAATTTTAAATTTTGTCTCAGGCCTCGCGATGTGTTGGGTCGGCCCTGTCTCTAGCAAGGAGTGGATTATGGATTCAGGGTGTACTTGACACATGACTCCAAACAAAGACGTGTTTGAAGAATTGTGTGATCAAGATGGTGGATCAGTGGTGTTGAGAAACAACAAAGCTTGCAAAATTGCAGGTATTGGATCTGTGAGATTCAAGCTCCATGATGAGTTAATAAGGCGATTAACTGATGTTAAGTATGTACCTAATATTAAGAGGAATTTGATTTCTCTTGGTGAACTCGACAAGATATGATATGTTTTCAAATGAGAGCAAAGAATGTTAAGGGTAATAAAAGGGTCAAAGAAATTCTTGAGAGGCGTGAAGAAACAAAGCTTACATGCCCTTGAGACTGAGTTTGTGAGTGATACAGCAGATGTGACATCCATAAAATATGTGTCGAAGACTAAGCTATGGTACAAGAAACTTGGCCATGCCAGTGAAAGAGGTATGGTCGAATTGTCGGAAAAAAATCTGTGGGTGGTGATAAGGTCGAAAAACTGGAGTTTTATGAACCTTGTGTATTTGGTAAATTCTGCAGAATGAAGTTTAACAAAGGTAAACAAAGAACACATGGGTGCCTTGATTACATTCATGTTTATCTTTGGGGACCTGCAAAGAATCCTTCACACTCAGGTGCAATGTATTTTTCATCCATAGTTAATGATTACTTCAGAATTTTATCCAGAAGACTAAGGATGAAACTTTTGAAAATTTCAAAAGTTTGAAGACTCTGGTCAAAAATGAAACTGGCAGGAAGGTCAAAAGGTTGATAACCAACAATGGTCTTGAATTTTGTAATGAGGCTTTCGACAACTATTGTGTTACGTATGGTATTGCAAGGCAGAGAACTACTGCAGGGACTCCTCAACAAAATAGTTTGGCTGAAAGGTTTAATCGAGTCATTCTGGAAAGGGTGAGGTGCATGTTGGTAAGTGTGGGATTGAAAAATGTGTTTTGGGCAGAAGTTGTTGTAACTGCAGCATACTTGATAAATAGGTGTCCCTCGATAGCCTTAGGAATGAAGACAGCTGAGAAAGTCTGGTCGGGATATCCACCTAGTCTCGATAGAGTTTGAGTATTTATTTGTTTATCTTATGCTCATATTATGCAAGACAAGGTCTAGAGCTCTGAAATGTATGTTCCTTGGATACCCAGAAGGAGTCAAAGCTTATAGGTTGTGGTGCCCAGAGCTAGGTCACAGGAGGTGTATCACAAGTCGAGATGTAATTTTCAATGAAGGTGATATGACTTTCAAGAAAATTAATGACATTAAAGTTCGAAGATCTTTGAAGAAGAGCTGGAACAGAAAGAGACTCTTGTTGAGGTGGAGTATAGTGATGTTGAATTGCATAACCCAGATGAAGTCAAAGAAGAATCTTAAGTTGTTGTCGAAGATGAGGAGACTGATAATGACTACCTGTTGGTAAGAAATAGGTCGATAAGAGTCATTAAACCACCTCAGAGACTTGGTTATGCAGATCTCATAACTTATGCTTTAATCTCTGCAAGTGAGGTTCTTGACAAAGAGCCTAGAGACTATAAGGAAGTTATGAGAAGTCGAAATAAGATTGAATGGCTGAAAGCCATGGATGATGAAAACTAGTTTGTTACCTTGTTAGTGTAGAGTTTGTTCTAAGGTGGAGATTTGTGGTATTTTGGGTCGAACTTTAATGTTGATAAAGGTAGTTTCATGGTTCGACGGGAGTTGTGTATGCTGTAGTCGAAGTCTCTTCGAGCATATTGTTGAAATATGTTAGCTTTGTGTTTAAGTTAGCATGTCGAATTGGGTTTTCCTTGTAAGCCCAATTGTTAAGTTAGCTTGTAACTTAAATTAGTTTAGTAGTCTATAAATAGACTAGTTCTCTCAGGATGTTGAGAGAGATTAATTGTTGGTATTCACTTGTAACCTTTGAACCCTTATTGAAAAAGTGAATAGAAAAATATATTTAATCAATCCTTCTTCTCTCCATTTTGTAAAACCTAATACGATTTCTTGTGTTTGTTCAAGAAATTCAATCTTTTTCTCATATTTTGATTTGTTCTTAATTCGAGTATTTGTAAAAAGAAAAAAATTATATTACTTTTGAATTATTTGTAGTTTTTATAAAATTTATTTATATTAAAACTGATTTCTACAATGTAAAAAATATTTAATTTTAATCTTCATATCAATAATGTTAAATACTAAAAATTTATATATTATAATTATTCATTTCAATATAAATTAATTTTATAAGAACTAAAAAACAAAAATAAAATTAAACTAAGAAATATTTGAAAAAAATCAAAATTAAATAAAAAATCACAGAAACTTAAACATAAAAATATTATATTTGCAAGCATATTTATATAATTCATCGGATGAAATGTGTTATGGGTGCTTACTCAACTTTAGTATGGATTATACTTTTTATTTTTATATTCTTGGTTGAAGGATTATTTTTTTATTATTCCATTTTATTCTTATTTAGCATTAGAATTTAAAAATATATATATAATAAAAATGTATAGATTTATAAGTTCTAATTCAACAAAAATAAATATTGATATTATTAAACCAAATATTGTAGTATTTAAGATTTGAAGTTGAAGTGACAAATAAGTAGTCCATTCTACTTGTCTTTTCCCATTTTTGCAGCAAAAATTTTAACCTACCATGTTGAACATAGATAGTTTGGTCCATTTCACTAAAATTGCGGGCAATAAAGATAATTTTGACAAGTCCGACTCGTTTTAAACAAATTAAGTGATATATTTAATGTATTCGCTCTGTTTTTTTTAAGTTTATATTATTTTTTATTTTTTTTTAATTGTCATTTATAAAA